AATACTCCTGTGGTTCGTCACGCTCCGTACTCTCTCCACATGGCTCCGTGTGACCTTTGGCTATTTCTCAAGCTGAAAATGCCGCTAAAAGGAACCCAAATTTAGTCGAGAGAAGACATCATGCGAAATGCGACGGACCGGCTGATAACCATTCCAAAAGATGCGTTCCAGCAGTGTTTCCAGCAATGGCAGGAACGCTGGGAGAAGTGTATACATTACCAAGGAGACTACTTTGAAGGGGATTAGGGTTTTGTACCTCAAGGTCAATAAATTTATTTTTGAAGTAGCTGTATTTCAAGATAACTGAATTCCTTAGCATTTAAATGTCTATATTCCTGGCTGGGACAAATAGTACAGTTATGAACTAATGAGATTTCAAATCTGTGTTTCAATTAATGAGGATTTCCTGTAACTATTTCTCAAAAATTGAAGAAATTCAGCTAAAAAATTATCATAAAACTGAGCATAATAAGCAGATGAAAATCCCAAATCAGTCAATAAGTACTCAACTAAAGAAGACCAAGTTATGACCAAAGAATTAGTGCTTATTGCTGAAAATAATATCTCAAATACAATAGTAGAGATGACAGACTTATCACACTGCTACTGGTAACATTAAAATAACAACACTTCTACCATCAGAATGCAACTTTATTATGGTTGACAAAGGTCTTGTGTACTGAAATGCATACTAGTAATAAAGTTGCATTCTGATGGTAGAAATGTCATGTTAATGTTACCAGTAACAGTATGATAAATCTCTGTCATCTATTTGAGATATTATTTTCAGCAATTTTTCAAGACAAGAATCTCTTTTATATGATATAACTGCTTATTAATTTTAATTTGTTATAAGGCAACCTTGTAAGATCAGATTTAGGTGATTTTAAATCTTAAGCCAATAACAAAAAACTAGCTATAGCTAAACCTGTAGTCAACTGTAGTCTACCAAATTCTGATCTCAAAACAGGTCCAGGAACTAAAGAATTAAGATGAAAAAAATCAATGTAAGGAATCTCAACTGAGTTTTTCCAATCCATCAACAAAGGATGGATCCCAAATTCCAGGGTCAAATTTGATACGATTCCAATACTTTCCTTTGTTATGTATACATAACAGCCAGAAAAGTAAAAAAAATTGATTTCATAAATCACTATTATAAAAATACAAGAAAATTTTTAAATGTTACAATTTAATATATTTAAAAGATAAGACTTACTTTGCTTACGCTGAGATCTGGTATAAATAAATCTTTATTTTGATCACGACCAATTGTTGAACCAGTGTAAGTAATTAGCAATAAACTTCCTATTTGTAATTTTTCTGATTCTAGAACTATTACTCGAATACAAGGAGGCCACTGTTTGGAAGCATCTGAAAAAATTTTTTAGCATTACTCTTATTCAAACAATTTACCAATTTACAATTCTTTTATTTTTTTTATAAATAATATATCTATATTTTTATTTTAAAATTAATCAGCAAGATTTTATTTTAATAAGATAATATAACCAAATCCAAGAATTTTTTAATCAATAAATAGGAATTTATTGATTATATATTGTTAGATTCATTAAAACGAAACAAAACTATAATACATTACAATATCTTTCAGTGTTAGAATAACTTTAATTTCACATTAATAGGGAGTGCACTTTTCAAAGCCAATACATGGAGGTAGTAACGGGCTTATGGATGCATAGCTTCCTGTTTCATCTGTCGTACTGTGTTTATGTTGTTCAAAATTGCTTTTTTACTTATTTGGATATTATAGAAATGCTGGTTTAATTGTTGTGCACCTCAGTGCAATGTCAATAATAAAAAATGTCCAGGTTTAAAATTCACAAATTTCCAAATGGCCCAATAAGAAAAAAAAGTTTAAGTAAACATAAAAACTTAAAAGAGAATCAATCAATATACTCGAATTTGTATCAGGCATTTCATTGAAAATGATTACAAAGTTACTAGTATGGAGAAGTTTATAAGATGGTTTCAAATTAAAAAGCATTTTATGAAGTGTTACTAAGTGTTATGAAGTGTTAAGTAGAATGACTTTTATTTGATAAAAACTACATGATTTACACTTACTTTTCACAGTTAGGTTATGTATTTACTATGTATATAGTCAAAAAGTGCAAAAGTTCTTGTCAAAATTCTACTTAAATTAATTAAACATACACACTACTGACAGTATTTTGTATATTTTTTTGGCCATTAACTACTCTTTGTAGCCTATTAAAACCTCAATCTTAATATCAAGCATTTTCTATAATGAATTTTTATTGCCTTTCTTGCATTGTCTGCATTCAGGCATAGGACAACAAGAGTGAGATCAAAAATAAGCTGAAAGCTAAAAACTGTAAAAGCATCAGTGTAATACTTTAAGCTTGTTAAGCTGTTCTAAAAGTTCTGCCTTTGTTCTTGTTGTCTTGCCAGGTGTATTATCAGACAGTTACCAGAGGAGGTCTGCTGGAAAAAGAAACAACATGTTATGTATATTACAAAATAACATTTCACATCTTCAAGAAAACCTTTGATTGCCTATAACATAACTAATTACATCCTCCTCAGATGCAATGTCATGAATATATCTACAACTTCATCAATATCAATACACAGTACAATATAAACTTCGTCAATATATTTACAACTCCTCTCTGCATTATTGCTATCCAGTTCTTCCATTGAAAATATCTCACCTTCAAGAAACTCAGGACTGGGTGGGTTGTCACAACACACATTGAGTCCTCTAGGGGATGCAGTTGAAATTTTTAAAAATTTATTAAAAATTTAATTTTCATCAAATATATATTAATGCAATATTTTCAAGCTATCTTACACATTATATAATACTGTACAAAATTTTATTATTATATATACATATAGATTGCCTGGGTCACCATTCATAGATTTATTAATCAACATTTTATACAATAAAAACAAAATTTAAGCTTAAAAATATTGTACTTTTTTATTGCTAAATGGTATAAATATCAATCTGACAAGTGAGTCAAGATTTGTGATGTATTATAATCCTACGTGATGGAAGGAGGGGTCTACAGACCCAACTGACCCCCACTGACAACACGTATTGGCTCCTAATTCTTTTAATTTCTTTCTTAATTCAGCAACCATTACACTGTTTAAATCCAGGTTTTTATAAGCATATCAAAACTTCTGCTCAGTTTCCACTATTTTATGCATTACTGGAAGTTAAGTATACATCAAGCTGATACACCAGTGACAAGATCAAAACCATGCATCATTAAATAAAATTCACACAAGTACTTTTGAAAATGTATTACAGTGGTACCTTTGTATATGTCTGCTTTAGAATACGTCCAATTCGGAATACGTCCTGTTTGGACGAAACAAATTTTGCTCGGTATACGACTTAATTCAATTATACGCGCCATCTATGAACAAGTAGCACTATCGGTGTATTAGATCTCACTAGACGTTCGCGATGACACAGTTTATAACTTTGTTAAAATTCTTTTGATTTTAATTTGTAAGTAAAATGTTATTATTTTTATTAATCATGAATTGCAAAAAGGCAACAGAAAAATAAAAAAAAAATGACTAAAATCACAATGGAACTGAAAAAAGAGATTGTTGAGAAATATGAAGGTGGCATGCGTGTTCGAGATTTAACTGCTGCATACCGTATTCCGAGAACGACGATATCGACAATTGTGAAAAATAAAGACATTATTAAATCTATTAACGTTGCCAAAGGGGTTAAATCAATTTCTAAACAGAGATCGAAGACATTAGGTCATGTTGAGAAATTGCTTTTGCTTTGGATAACTGAAAAACAATGTGCTGGCGACAGCATATCAGAAGCAATTATTTGCGAGAAAGCTAAAAAGATACATGCTGATCTCATGAAAAATCAAGCAGGAACTAGACAGGAAAGCGAGGTGTTTAAAGCCAGCCATTTTTTTTTTTTTTTTACATGAGAACGGATTAATCATTTTTACATTACTTCTTATGGAAAAGGTTGGTTTGGTATACGTCCTATTCCGTATAAGTCCAAACACCAGGAACGGATTAAGGTCGTATACTGAGGTTCCACTGTACTGTCTTCCTCAGGCAACATTATTTGAATATTGATCACAAATGATTCAAATTGAAATTCTTTATGTATTCTTTGGTGTAAATTCTTTTTTTGAAAACTATAAAAACATAAAGACTGTTTTTATCATCATATTTCACATTATATTAGTGAGAAGCAATGAAATTAGGAAGTAAGCATGAAAAAAATTTTTGATTTTGATAACAGGAAAAAATAATGGTAGGATGGTAGCATATGCACAATACCAATGTCTATAAAATAGCAAACTCATCACTTGAAGTCAATCCCACACAAACATGACTGCCATCAAATAAAAACATTCACGGACTCACACCTCACCCTGCACTATACACATGGTGTTGCACACTGTGGACTACAGTGTTGGTACAGTATGAAATCAATTTTGTAAGCAGTGTTATTACTTCAGTGTTAGTGTACTGAATTCAGTACATTTTATGAAATCCTATATGTCAGTACCACTTTTTTAACAAAATGAGCTATTTTCAGTACAAAATCTAAAACTTGTAATAATGTAAAATTTATCATCAAAAACATACATTTTTATTGTCTTTGCAATTATTTTTATGTTGGAAATGGCATGTTGGTATCACCAATTTTGATCAAACTTGGTGAGGTTATAGTGCATCTTCAACAACTGACACATGCCAACTAGTAAGGTGCAATACTCAAAATTAAAGAAGAAAACTGAGTTTGAAAATTATAAATCACTTAAAACCTTTAGAATTTCTATTGTGTGTATAAGTGGCCAGTGGCTTGGTAGGGGCACTCTGGTTTCGTAACTGGGAGGTTGATGTTTCGAATCTCATTGGTATTAATGTAGTTTTTTCTCCCTAAAAGTATAATTCTTACTTTATTCTTGATACTTTTAAATTTATTATACTGTCAGACAGAAAAACTGATTTATTTTTAGAAAACTACAAATTACTGTATAATAAACAAGATAACTTTACAGGAGATGAAGGTAGTGCCTACAGGACACTACCTTCATCTCTTTTAGTGTCCCCTAAATTGACAATAGGATTACTATTGTCATTTGCAGGTGTCATGAAAAGCTAACATTTTTGGCCTTGCAATAGACATTGGGTATAAAATACATGTAGAAATTGAGTTAAATTCAATTTCTGCTGTGAACACTCAATAAAAAGAAATACTTTTACCAGTATTTTGCAGCACACATTGCCTACCTTGCATGATCTGACTACATGCCTTTACATTATATATTAAACATTCATAATTTAGTACAGATTATTTTTGAAAAAAAAATTTTTTTTTGAAAAATTACAATGTAAAATTCTAATGTCTTCTAAGTTTCTAAATTCAGATAACTTAAAATATTTAATATAAAACATTTTCAGCCTAATTTTGGCCACCCTAAGTATTGAGTACATAAGCAGAATATCATGGATTAATAACACAGGTCTGCAAGTAAAAAACTGCATAGGATTTTTATAAATTTTCTTACAGATTTCAACTTGGTAAAAACGAAAAAAATACCAAAAAAATTCCATTTCGTCAATTTTCTTTGTTACACTCAAGTTTTTGTTTGTATTTAGCGTAAAATTCCTAGTTAACTTAAAATTTAGTATTCTTTTTTTTCTGGTATTTTTGAAACCGGCTTAAAAAATGGCCTTAAAACAAAGACTTCTCACATTAATTCTATCAATTATAGCTGAACTTGATAATAAATAAATAAAAATGTTAATGATTGAAGAGAGTAGTGGTAGAGGGAGGTGGGTTAAGTAGTTTTAGCATTAGGAGGAAGGTCACATGATCGTATAGAAACCGGTTAAAAGTTGATAGTGAGTAATATTATTGGTGAGGTTGAACATGTTTCAACATGTTATCTGGGGTACTAGGAATAAATATAAACAACCTGCTGTTGGATTAGATCATGTTTCACAAGCTAAATAAGTTCAGTATCTCGCTGGCCATTTAATGCCACACTCAGTTTATATCTAGCAATCAAACACTACTGTGCTTGTATTTTTATTTCTGGAATATGGCTCATAAAGGTTGTGTAATTTCTCCCAACAGCTTCTGTTATGTTTGTGGTGAATATACAGTGAAAAGTCAACAAAGAAACATAAGTGAGTTTGTGAAGAAAGTATAATTTGTGTATTTCAAATTGAAACTTAGAGATCAAGACAAAGCAGATTTTTGGAAACAATGGGAGAAAAGAAAAAAGAAGCATGGGACTCTTTCAAAAATGTAGTGCATAAGTTTTTGGGGAATATTAAGAACCCTGACTACAAAATCATTGTACAACACATGCTGGCAGCAGTGTATGAAGCTCAAGGATGCAAGATAAGTTTAAAATTTCATTTCTTACACTCCCATATTGACTATTTTCCTGAAAACTTGGGAACCTACAATGAAGAACAGGGCGAAATATTTCACCAGGATGTCTGCGATATCGAGAGACATTACAAAGGAAAACAGATGTCAATATATTAGCTGACTACTGTTGGATGCTCAATCAAGAAACCAAAGAAGGAAATCGGAAACGAGTTTGGAGAAGTATCAAAAAGAAGAAAAGGTTTCATAGGAAAAAGAGTAGACCTAAAATTGTGTATATCAGAAACAATTTGTTGATTAGTTGTAAGAAAATATAATATATTTAGTTCAATGTAATAAATATGAGTTTTTATCAAAAATTTGTTTTTATTTTGCAAAATATCTTTACGTGATGGGAAGTAACAAAAGTTATTTTTAGAATCTGCGATCTTTAAAACATATAATTCAGCAAAAATATTCCATGCAGCTGGAAAAAAATTTTTTTGCAGACCTGCGTAAATATATAGCATAGTACAAAGTTTTTCTTGGTATATATTTGATTTTAAAAATTTTAGTAAATTTCATAATCAGTAACTGCATATTTTTGGAGAGTACATTCAGAAAGTTTTCTTCTGTAAAGTTTGAATCCTGATTAAAAAAATTAATAAAATAAATACTAAATCAGTCATATTCATATCTTTATTTTGTTATTTTTTGTGCTATATTTATAACATCATACATATTAAAGATGAATCCAAAAGTTCTTAATGTTTTAAGAATGACCACATTGTATCATTGTCATGCTCATTTAAAAATTTTGAGGCAAATTTAGCTATTATTTATTGAGGGTTTATTCCATAAAAAATAGAAAAACAAATGTTATAACTAATCATTTAATACTTAAAAGCAAACAAATCAAATAGAAGGATCAGATTTTTATATGACCTTATTTTTGGTTTTTTCTTAAAGTGATTTATAATCATATGTATTTCGAACTGATTGATTTAAAGATTACTGTGTTACAATAAGAGCCTTTTTGTTTTTGTTATATGGCAGTAACTGCAACTTTCTAGCCAAGAGATCAGCAACATATTTTGCAAGTGCCATCTTCCATAATTTCAATAGAAAACAAATTACTAAGAAGTGAAGAATATGAAAATGAATAATATGCTACAACTATAGCTAATATGATATTTAATTTTTAAGGTGCAAATGTAATATGGTATGGTAATCATTTTTAAGGAAAAAAAATATTATGAAAAAACTGCTTTTCCCATATTTTGTTTCACAGTAATAATGATTACATGATTGCACAGTAATGATTATTTCATACCTTCATCTTCTATTAGTTCTTCAGTATCTGAGCTGTTATTTTCACAAGATGAAGAATCCAAAATTTCACCATCCTCAGATGGACTTTTTATTGCATTATTTTCATTATTTGAATCACTGTCAAACTCTTCTATATCATTATTATTCACTTTTTCTAACTTTATATTCTTTGATAATTTCTGAACCTTTAATAAAAATATTTCTTATCATATATTAACAATAATATGAGAAAATGTTAGCTTTGAAAAGTAGTTATTAATAAATTTTGTTTTATTTTTTCAAAAATTGAAATAATTACCTATTAATTGTAATAATTATAATTATTATTCAATGAAAATTAATTCAGAAATAAATAATTTTGTTTAAGCATATAAAATATACATTTTAGACTGCATAAAAATTTTCAGTATATATCTCATGCTCAAAAAATTAACAAATAAAATGATTGTTAATACATTTATAATGTTCGTTTCAATTCATACTCACATTTAGCTACCAGATTGGCCAATGTTTTAAAACATTGTTTCTAGTATCACAATTATCCAGAGTTATAAATAAATGTCTACTTTCAGTGACAATAAACTCAAATAAATATATTATAATTAATTCATTATTTTAATGAAGAAACATACCTTAGTTTGTCTTCGTTTTTTAGAAGTTTTTTTATTCTTTTTATCTGAATGTAATTCTTCTGGTTTTGACTCCTCCGAAATGAATTTATATGACTGTGTGTCAGAACAATATAAATATTTCATTCCAGTTTGTGAATCAATGAAGATACCAGTATTCTAAAAAAGGAAATTTAAATTCATAATTAATTATATTAAGTTTTGATGTAAGATAAATTATATTAATTAGATAAAAAAAAAGTGAAAAGAACAATATTTATAAATTAAATATAACTCTTTTATCATTTCATATTAAATAGAAATTTCCAAAATTTTTATGAATTTTATACAAAAGCAACATCAGAAATTAGACAGCTACAGCTTGGTGCAAAAGTCTTCTGAACTCATAATCCATTTTCTTTCAGTCTGAAATTTACTGTCTCCATAGAAACAGTAACTTAACTGCATAGCTGACACTTACATCTCAATTTCTCACAACTTTCAAAGCAGTCTTTCAAGCTCAATCAAATAAGACTATGGCCATTTTGCATTATACTCTCTCTTCCTTAGTCTTCCCTTTTTGTTCTGATCTTTGAACTGTTAGTCATATTGAAATGATTATCAGTTTGCAACTGCTAACTGTTGAGTAATGACAGCCACATTTCACAGTAATTTAACAACAGAATATTCCTTCATTATGCAGAGCGATAATCTTTGCATGTGTAAGCCCTTTCTCTTCAAGCAACATACATTAAAACTAACGAAGAAACTCTTCAGAAGTATAACACAAACTCTCAATTTTAAATGATCATCATATTCTACAGGTAGTCATTATATAGTGGAAATTGGATGTCCAAGAGAGCTAGAGTGGATTGAACCTATTGATTTCACATTTTATTGACTACTTATGTTTCTCAAAAGCATTAAATTAATACTGATATTTTAATTCTAACAAAAGTTTTGAATTATTTATGAAATATTCTTCAAAATTTATTATGTTTGGAATTGGCATTACTTTAAAAATGGGTTCAAAATCTACGACTACATGATCACATGATGTGTTGCAGGACTTGTGCTCCAAGCTACAGCAGAGTATACAAAGTACAAGAATAACTGAATGACACAATATTGTGTGACAAATACTTAAAGACTGAGTCAGGATAGGAATTCATAAAAGCATAATATAACTAATATTAATTCACACAATAGGAGCAAGAGGAACAGACAAATTACGAATAGTAACAAAATGAAAATATTAAGAAACAATTAATAAGACAAAATAAATAAAACAAAAATATAAATATACAATAAAAGAGTAATATACAGAAATGAGTAATTGTATGCATACAAGACAACTAAAATGGATAAAAATGTACTACACATGCCCATAGAGTTAGATTAGCCCGAGATACCACATAGAAAAGTCTAGATTATCCAAAGAAGAGACACTATGAAGACAAACTCAAGACTTAATAAATTATATAGAAACAAAGTGTAAATGTGAGTAAGCATGTGTATCTGTTTAT